TTAAGTTAAGTTGCCATAATCAGGCTTTTGGTCTTTCCATGAGGATCTATAGAGGAAGTTTCTTAAAAAGTAATACTTTTCCACAGTTTGAAAAAATATGTAAAATGAAGCAACTGAGAGGATCTTAAGTATAAGGTTTGTTTCCTTGCGCAAAGAGAGAAACCGGCTTCTGGTTAAAATTTTTAAAAGTGAACTTCAAATTAAAAGTATTTTTAAAATTAAATGTATATAATTCTTTTACTATTTAAACACTGAAGATGGAAATTATCTCAATTCAAAAATGTCATAAATATAAAATAACTCATTGGCTCCTGTGTACAATGATGTGTACACTCATGTTAAAATTAATAACATTTTTATTTATTATGAAATATATTTTAATTTTATACCAAACTATTGTTAAAAATAAGTACACTGGCGTTTTAAAGTATTATCTGTTACTTACATTCATAATTTCGCTTTGAATAAAAATGTACTGAAAAGTACTTATTTTTTAGCATGAAAAATCTGGCAACCCTAATAACGAAGGAGCAATTACATTGTAAAAAAATAATAACAAGTTGTGGTTCTGATATTTCGGGCCCCTTTAAGAAGCCCGGGCCCGGGGGGATTCACCCCTTTTCCCCCTCCCTCTCGACGGGCCTGTACGTATGTATTTACTCATTGAATCTGGATGAATACGTGAATTTTAATATGATAATTTTTTCATGTTTGATGACCCCTAGTAAAATGTCATTCTTAAAAATTGTGTGGTACATTATAACCAAGGCCGAAAACAATAAGCAAGAATAAAAATATGCTTGCAAATATGCCCGATAAAAAAAAATGTTAGTGCATGGATTTAGTTATGACTTTTTTACTATTAATAAAAAAGGCAGTTTATATTGCTCAAAGATACGAACCACCGTACAGTTTCATAAGTAAAAACACTATCAGCTGATTGCCAAAAAGTGCCTACAGCTGGACCTCCTGTTTTTGGCATGTGCTCTTATCTATTACAATTTCTTTCATTTCTACTACAATTTCTTTCATTTCTACTACAATTTCTTTTATTTCTATTACAATTTATTCAAAATGCACTAACACACTGAACCAAAAATACCAATACACCAACTAAAAACACACCTACAGCCTGCTTGAAACACACCTACAGCCTGCCAGAAAAAACGGTAAGAAGAATAGTTACTTTACTTATGGAACTGTACCATGATTCAATAATGAAAGGTTTTGTAAGAAAAACTTTCTCTCGCTCTAATTTTATCAATGACACTCCCACCCTACTCCTAAAAACAAAAAGAGTGATATTTCTTTTCCAAATTTCTTTGCAAGTTTTAAGAGTATTTTTAAATTGTTGGTAGTGAAATTTTTACTTTTTAAATTTGAAGAAATTTTTGTTCTTCATTCGCTGGCGCCAACAAGACAAAATGGGTGAGAATCGTTGGACTACAGAAATTCAATGCAGGCTAAAGAGACGAAATTCCCTTAAATGCCGAAATGTATTTGTCGATTCTTGTGGAGACCTCTTGATTCTACCAAGTCGCTGTAAAGTAAAGCGTGCAATGGTTTTGGTAAATGAGCCAACGAAGGTATTTAGGTATTGTCCTCCACAACACAATCCTGGTGTCTCCGAATGAGACTTTGACGCAATATAACATTGCCAAACCGCATCCATAGGCCCAATCGTCACACGACAGCTCGGTTTAGTCAATGGCGCGATGTAATTGCACACTTAAAAGGTGTACGCACGAGGCGAATGTTGGCTGGCGACCAACTTTGTTGTTCAACCAAAAGTAGAATGCAAAGTTAAACAATGCAGACGCCTTTTTATGGCGAATATTTTGAAATTTTTTTATATTTTGATATTTTTAGTCATTCAATTTTTTTCGTGCAACCCGGCGTGAGTTGAACGCAAAAATTGCCTGAAAAATCGCCTCGTGCGAAAGCCCCATTACGCCACTTCTCATTTGACGATGTAGNTTTGAACGCAAAAGTTGCCTGAAAAATCGCCTCGTGCGAAAGCCCCATTACGCCACTTCTCATTTGACGATGTAGATCACGTTCCCTATCTCAGTCGTTCAGTAGCTGCGTGTTCTTTTTATTCTTCCTGAGTTCGTTGCGGCTGTGTAACCCAGTATTGAATATTCTCCCCAGAACATTAAAAATGCGACATCAAAAATNTCTTTTTATTCTTCCTGAGTTCGTTGCGGCTGTGTAACCCAGTATTGAATATTCTCCCCAGAACATTAAAAGTGCGACATCAAAAATTTCGAATTACCATATTCGAAACAATCGAGCCATAACCGCGAAAGAAACGTAAGCCCCACATTTTTTTATTTGCCGTTTTTTTAATAAATTTTGCATATTTTCCACATAGCTTCTTCATATCCATCATCTGGCAAACAAATACAACAAAAAAAGCTGAAAGTGGACCATTCATTCTCGAGTTATGCGGCATCTGACGTACGCAAGTTTGGTATATACATAGAAATATTTATTTTTAATAACAATCGGGGGTTATATTCGATGTAAATAAACTTGTTTAAATTAAAAAATTAAATCAAATTCGTTTTTGTTTTAAAATACCACCATTCACTATTATCCACACCTTTTTATGGAATTTAGCTCCCATTTTAGGAAGTGTGATTGAATTCTTCCCCTTTTTCTCCTGCTTCCATAAACCATCCCTGTGGGTGGGAGTGCCAAATTTTAGCAAAAAGCCATGATAAAAACATTAGAAGGTAAAACCATTCTCTCAATTCGTCGGCCATGATTTTTTTCTGACGTTTGCAAACATTTTAAAATCATATAAAATTGAAAATAAAAAAATGAAATTGTTCACAATTGTTGTTGTTTGAGATTAAAAATGAGAATGTGTGTGTGAGCCTGAGCTCGAATTTTAAAATTATATTGTTGGCAAACGTCAGACTGCCTCTCAATGATTTTACCTTGTAATGTTTTTATCATGAAAAAAGCTACTTACCAAACCTTTAATAATTAAATCATGGAACTGTACGATGATACTAACCCTTCATTTCTTTTCAAATGTGAATTTAATTTTTTTTATTATTCTCCATTTATATTCAACAATTCTCCATTTATGATAAATGGTTAATATTCTCTTCAATAATAACACTAAAGCCTTCCCGTAGAGACCAACCTTTGGTTTGCAATTTTTATATCCCGGTGGAATGCAGTTGAAATTTGTTCAAGTGACTTGCGCCCACTTGAAGAATGCATCCCTGCGCATCCTTTAATCCCAAATGCATCCCTGCGCTTGCACCGAATTAAAGCACCCCTGCTTGAATATTCCAGTGTTAGCTATAGACAGGCTGCAGTTGCTTCCAGTGTAACCTATAAAGGCACTCTCCGCCTTGCCATTTTTCTTCTTTTTACCTCAACATCTGACCAGAGGACATCGCGGAGCCGTTCGTTGACTCAACCAACATTTGGAAGTTTATATATTTATCTACGCGGGAGTACATACCTCATCATGGAATTCCACCAGCAACGTAACACCTTAAATCTATTCGTATCCTATTATATTTTCATACCACCATTGCAATTTTGAATCTTTACTTGCGATATACTATACGGCTAACACCACCTTATTAAATACGCCTTGTTACTTGGAATTGTAAGAATAAACGGTTGTGCAACAATAATTTTGTGTTTAATATAATAAATATAAAGTGAAGCGAAATTGTTTGTGTTGAAAAATCATGTGTTGAGATAATTTATGTAGAAAAGTCATATGTTGAGTTAATGTGTTGAGTTGGTATGTGTTGAAATATCTTTTGTTATTTAGACCTGTTACCTAAATGGCGTAGTGCGATATAGAGTATTCTTCTGCCCATCTTATTGTTTGGGGCGCCTAAAATACAGGTTGCGAGCTAGTAGCCGCCCGCGAACTACCGGTTGGACAGCACTGGTCTATGGCATGATTCCAAAAAATTACTTTTGAAAAAAAAAATTCAGAAAATTTGTTTTGGTTATTCATTATGTAAATTAATATATCAATCTAAAAATTATGGTTATTTTTGCATAACAGTTTTAGAGACACTCTTATTTTGTAGCTATACTCACGAATAATATCTCGTTTTGGACCGATATCCATAGAATTCCAACTGAAGGAAGCTGAAGACGGCCACAGCGTGTAACCGTCATGATGCTTACTGGTTAAAACCACATATCTGAAATAAAAATTAAGTTACTGTAAAAATGAGATTTGCATGCGTTTAATAATACATATGGGAGTATCTCAGGAAGTTTTGACTTTCAACATTTAAGAAAAATAAAAAATAAAAGTTTTTGCACACATATCTTGCCGATTTCACTTTATTCTTTGAACCTTGAAACATAAGTAAAACAATGAAAACTCAGTTTTCAAGCTCGGTAATTTTTTTCTAACCTCAAAAAACATGTCGAACTATATGTGACAGAATTTTGTTATAAATATTGACGGATCTACTTTTATCTGGATTTCAGACTCGTATTCAGCGACCCCAAAACATACACATTTTCCGATTTTTTTCGTGTTCCTGCGTAATTGCTTAAAATTTAGATATTTATGAAAACTTTCCCCTTTCTTGCTGCCTCCACAGGCAAAAGTTTTTATCTTGATAGTTTTATCAGGCAATATCTTGCCAATGGAGACCGCATATTGCTCTTGGTAAGCAATAATTATCAAAGCTTTTATCTTGATAAATATTGCCAGCAATTTGATAATTTGATCGCTACATTTTCATTTACGCGATAACTCCGTGGCGGCAACATTATTGATATTTTAAAATAACAGCAAAAATTTAGCTGTTTTCTATTAAAACATATGTTCTTATGTACTTGGATGTGAAATAAAAAATTTTCAAAATTTTTTAAGTGATTGAATCAAGAAAAGCCATCTTACAAATTCTTTTATCAACATAAAACCTCAGTCCGTATAGTCCGTACGCGCGGAAGAAGTTAAACTTAATAGAAGAAATTCCAGAAAGAAAGAGATGTGCGATATATATACATACATACACATGTACATATCTTCTAATATACAACATACATATTTATTTTATTTTTTTAATGAGCTTTAACTTTTCATTTTTATAACCAACTGCTAAATAAGATTAATTTTAATTTGTGGCTGAGAATATATACATATCTCTACAATATTAACTAGTGAGTTGTGGTAACTAAAGTAAGATATGAAATGTTTTATTTCAATATTATTAATATTTCCTCCTTGTTGTTGTTCGATCATTTCAACCATAAACCATTTCCAATGAAAAATTTTTCTTCGAAAATTGTTGTCAAATCACCAGATTCGACCAGCGAAAAGTTGACATTAAAATCTCCTGCGAGAATTACATCAACATCAACCCTTTTTACCTTAAAAATTGACTTGCAAAAAAAAACCGAAAGAGAAATGTTTATTTAAACATTCGCTCAAAACGTAAATTTCGAAAGAACTGTAATTTTTGGTAGGAGGTACTGCAAGCTTGACTAAAGGACTGTAATTTAAAGTTAGAACTATGAATCTGGCAACATTGGTTACAACGCACAATGTAATATTCCCAAATGAGTTGTTCCTGAAAATAGCAAACGTGCTGCTATTTAGGTGAAATTTTCTACACAGATATTTTTATTTCATTGAAACTTTTATAAATGTTTTGACTTTCCACTTGATTCAGCCCGTTCGTGTCATACCCCATTGGTGAATTTATGCATTCCATTTCTTTATTCACACATTTAGCAGTTAAGTACATATATTTACAAATAATTTTTGTAATTTTGTATTAAAGCGCATTTTTCTATCACAAAAAGCCAGTAAATGACATCTGAAAGCTTTACGTTTCTGTTTCAAAATCACGTTCACGCGGAAAGTGTTTGTGCAAAGAAGTAGTTACAATTTTAAATCATTTGCAATGGCCAGTTAAATGGCTAAGTGATTTTGGAAATTATAAACTGTTTTAGGGCTAATTTATTTATATGCGCGTATAACAAAATTAGTATTAAGAGTAAGTAGTAGTAACTGATTCTGGTTAAATATTCCGATTAAAATTAGGTGCGCCTACTAACTATACTTACTAGTTTCCTTTTGATGCAACTTAGCTATTTCCTAACAGAAAGTGAAGGAAATAATAGCATTCATCCAGAAACTATTTTTATATTTTTTTTTGTATATAATGTAAAGCCTACGCCCATTTGAAATAAATATCTCATCCGTGAAAAAGCTTACCGCCGCCTCGGCGATATCGGCTTCTTAATTTCTTGTCGTACATGTCGTATGAGTGACCTGAGTAGTTTAAACCGCATAAACGTAAGTATTCTGCCGCAAGGCTGTTTATTCAGTATATTGAACGCAGTTATTTGCGTGATAACAAACAGCGTTTGTATACTAGGAAAAGCTTCACGCAACAAGCTGTCAATACCTCTCAGCAATCATAGCTGCTTGCTACTCGTATCACTGCTGGTACATTAGCTGTCGTATAAAATGGAAGTGAGTAAGATTGTAAAAACTTCCACTTTTCTTTGCGTAAATAGCTGTGAGGTGAAACAATTTTAATTCGTTTTCACTGCATGCACATGGGTATCATTTATTTACTATATGAAGCAGCAAAACGTAAAATATAATTTATAATATTATTTTAATTAGATTTTCTATCCTTAATTTGCAGGTAAATTTTAATTTCCCCAAATAGCTTATTAGTGCATAAATATATGTGCGACTCGTTTTCCTTTTTGAAGTGAAGCTTCTTTAGCGGCGGTGGGTTGGTTGGGAGTAAATTGGCAAATTCAACGGAAATTGCACACGGAAATGGTTGGGACGGAAACAAGTGCTTCTTGAATACATGTTATTAATTTAACAAAAACTTGCTAAGTGAACACTTTACTTATATAAGGGCAAAGGTGAAGGGGAATATGTAGATGAAGAAAATGATAAACAAAAAAGTAAAAACAAAGACAAATATGAAGAAAAAGATGAGGATGAGGATACCGTNCTTTTTGAAGTGAAGCTTCTTTAGCGGCGGTGGGTTGGTTGGGAGTAAATTGGCAAATTCAACGGAAATTGCACACGGAAATGGTTGGGACGGAAACAAGTGCTTCTTGAATACATGTTATTAATTTAACAAAAACTTGCTAAGTGAACACTTTACTTATATAAGGGCAAAGGTGAAGGGGAATATGTAGATGAAGAAAATGATAAACAAAAAAGTAAAAACAAAGATAAATATGAAGAAAAAGATGAGGATGAGGATACCGTTAAAAGAAAAGGTGAAGATAGAGGAAGAAAGATTAAAATAAAGATAATTATAGAGAAAAGGATACAGATAGAGGCACAGAGACTCAATCTGGGAAATATATGGGATTTTAGAGACATTCGAGATTGTCGGGACTTATCGATATAATAATCGATATTTTTATCGGCCTTGTTATCGATTATTTATCGACTTTGTTATCGATATTTTTATAAATTTTCTAATCGATTTTTGTTATTGATTTTCTTGTCGATTACTTATCGACATTTTTGTCGATACTGTTATCGAGTTTGTTATCTATATTTTTATCGATTTTATGATCGATTTTGCTACCAATGTTATCGATTTTTCTGTCGAAATTTTTATCGATTTTGGTATCGATTCGGTTATCGATTTTCTATCTCGGAACTTACCGATGTAATAATCGATATTTTTATCGATTTTGTTATCGTTTTTTATCAATGATTTACCGATTTGGTTATCAATTTCAANTTTTTGTTATTGATTTTCTTGTCGATTACTTATCGACATTTTTGTCGATACTGTTATCGAGTTTGTTATCTATATTTTTATCGATTTTATGATCGATTTTGCTACCAATGTTATCGATTTTTCTATCGAAATTTTTATCGATTTTGGTATCGATTCGGTTATCGATTTTCTATCTCGGAACTTACCGATGTAATAAACGATATTTTTATCGATTTTGTTATCGTTTTTTATCAATGATTTACCGATTTGGTTATCAATTTCGATATTCATATTTTTATCGATTTTGTTATCGATATTTTTATCGATTTTTCAATAAATTTTTTATCGAGTTATTGCTTCGCCATGTGAGCCGGTGAATAAAACACTTATTTTCAGCTTCTGTTCTTTATTTTAGAGAGACNGGAGAAAATTGGGGCTATTTGAAAAGGGGGTGTGAGGCCTATAAACGTACCGACTTTTAGCTATCTGGCACCTCCCATATAAACCGAATTTTTATACTGCATATCCCTGAAAGTATTCATGGTACAGTTCAGTCCATACTCATGGAGAAAATTGGGGCTATTTGAAAAGGGGGTGTGAGGCCTATAAACGTACCGACTTTTAGCTATCTGGCACCTCCCATATAAACCGAATTTTTATACTGCATATCCCTGAAAGTATTCATGGTACAGTTCAGTCCATACTCATGGAGAAAATTGGGGCTATTTGAAAAGGGGGTGTGAGGCCTATAAACGTACCGACTTTTAGCTATCTGGCACCTCCCATATAAACCGAATTTTTATACTGCATATCCCTGAAAGTATTCATGGTACAGTTCAGTCCATACTCATGGAGAAAATTGGGGCTATTTGAAAAGGGGGTGTGAGGCCTATAAACGTACCGACTTTTAGCTATCTGGCACCTCCCATATAAACCGAATTTTTATACTGCATATCCCTGAAAGTATTCATGGTACAGTTCAGTCCATACTCATGGAGAAAATTGGGGCTATTTGAAAAGGGGGTGTGAGGCCTATAAACGTACCGACTTTTAGCTATCTGGCACCTCCCATATAAACCGAATTTTTATACTGCATATCCCTGAAAGTATTCATGGTACAGTTCAGTCCATACTCATGGAGAAAATTGGGGCTATTTGAAAAGGGGGTGTGAGGCCTATAAACGTACCGACTTTTAGCTATCTGGCACCTCCCATATAAACCGAATTTTTATACTGCATATCCCTGAAAGTATTCATGGTACAGTTCAGTCCATACTCATGGAGAAAATTGGGGCTATTTGAAAAGGGGGTGTGAGGCCTATAAACGTACCGACTTTTAGCTATCTGGCACCTCCCATATAAACCGAATTTTTATACTGCATATCCCTGAAAGTATTCATGGTACAGTTCAGTCCATACTCATGGAGAAAATTGGGGCTATTTGAAAAGGGGGTGTGAGGCCTATAAACGTA